TTTTTTTTTTTTTTTTTTTTTTTTTTTTTTCTTTTCTTTTCTTAGTCACGTTCTCCCTTACGCTAGAGAATAGTCATCTGATAGGAACTTTCAGTATTGCCTAGCTCTGGATATATTATATTCGCACTATACATATAAAGATTACTCGAGATTTCTTTCAAAAGAATTTCTTCCGTAATTTTTCGTAATCGACAGGCCCCCTAGAGTATCACACGGGCCAAAATTATACGGTATGCTTACGTATACACGCGAGTAAAAAAAAAAAAAAGGGACACGTGCACAACATACAAACGACGATGACTCGCGCGGGTTCGAAATTCAGGTTCGTTGTTGCGACGATAATAATAAAAAGCAAAAAAACGAATAATAATCATTAATTTCCATCCCAAATGTAATAAAAAGGCAGCATTGACAAAACAAATCGTACTATCTCGTACTATCATTTAGTGTTCGATTTCGTTCGACAATACAAAACACGATATAAAAAAAAAGAGAAATTTATAATAACGCGAAGAGAGAAAGAAGACGATTCTCTCTTCGATCGACTAAAAAGGAAAGAAAGGATCGTTAAGAATTTCGAACGAGACGCGAAGCCAAAACGATCGTTTACGAGTCTAAGAGGTCAGCCAGACACTCACCGGCCGTGGTGGTAGCCGTGCTTGCCGCTGCGGCGCCCGGGTGTTGCTGTTGCTGTGGCTGGAACATCGCCGTTGGATGGAGGAACAAGGATCCGTACATCATGTTTTCGTCCGATTGCTGCTGCTGTTGCTGCTGCTGCTGCTGCTGGTTGCCGACCACCGGCGAGCCACCGATCCCCGCTGCGCTCGTGTTGCCGCCAGGAACGATCGGCGCGCCGGGTGTTGGCGGCACGAGGCTACCTTCCTCGACGGCGACACGCACCGACTCGATGTGTCGCCGCGAGAATACGTGCTCCTGGAGCGGCGATTTCGCCGAGTATCGGACCGAGCATAGCCTGCACTCGTCGGGCCCGGTCGGGCCGCGATTCGGTTGGACGGCCGAGCCCTCGGCGGGCAGACCCGCGGCCAGTCTCGCCTTCTTCTCCTTGGCGCGGGCGTTCTGGAACCAAACCTGCCAATCCCCTCCGTTAGATCCATCCATTGGCGATCGAAAGATGCGAGGAATTCCAGTTAAACGCATTTGAAACGAAATTTTCGTTCGTTCGATTATCGTAAGAATTATCGTTTCCAAATTAACCAGGTTAAATGTAAAGTCTGATCGTGAAACGATGATCTTAAAATATGTTTAAGATAGATAGAAATAGAAATTCCTCGCCTCGAAACAAATAACATGATGCTCACCTGGACGACGCGCTTGGGCAGGCCGATTTCGCGCCCCAGCATCTCGCATTCGGCCATCGTAGGCGTCTTGTAGTCCGAGAACAGTGACTTCATCACCTTCACTTGGGTGGCGGACATCTGGGTTCGATATCTCTTGCCGCTCGATTGGCCTGTACCACTGCTTGCTCCGGTGACAGGTGGGCCAGGTGTGCTTCCAGCTCCCGCGGAAGCCGGGCCCTGTCTCGAGCTTTGCGTGCTCGAGGCAGGGCTCGCGGGTCCGCTCTCGTCGTCTAGGAACTCCGTAGTCTCGCTCATGCTGTCGTCATCGCAGATGCTTCTTTCGGAAAGATCGGTAAGAGGGCCGCAATCGCTACCGCCGCGGAAATGAGCGCCGTGTTGCTCGTCGAGGAGATTGCCCAGCCCGCCGAGGTTCAGTTTCATGGGGCGGCTAAGGTCGACAGGTTTGCTCAGATCCAGAGGAGATTCGCCGCTGTTGCTGCTCGCCTGATGATTCGCCGTCTCTTGTTTCCCGTTGCTGGCGTGGGCCTGCAACTCGCTGATGTATCGCTTCATCGACTCCTCGTAGTACTTTTTCAACGACGCCTCCATGTCGGTGTTGAACGGTGGGAAGAGGGGAGGCATCATGTTGGGCGTGCTAGGGTTCGAGGGAGCGGACTCCATCGACAGCTCCTCGTCCGGGATATTGTCGATATTGACCTCGCCACGCGCCACCTGGTCGGCGTGTTTGCTGCTGAGATGCGACTCCAAGGCGGATTTCACCTTGAACAAGGCTGGACAGAAGGGGCAACGCTTGTTGATCACCTGGCTGTGCGCGCGGAACTGGCCCTTTCGTTCGCGGGCGCGAGTATTTTGAAACCATACTTGCACCACGCGCTTCTTCAAACCGACCTCGCGAGCTATGGTCTCCAACATCTTTCTCGATGGATTCGACTCGACCTGGTACTTCTGATACAAGTAATCCAATTGTTCGGGCAGTATGGTTGTTCTCAGTCGTTTGTCTTTGGGCTGCTCGCTGTGCTCGGAATTCGATCGCGATTCGCCACCTGTCCCCTCGTCGAAATCCTCGTATTTCCTCTTTCTATCCTGCATCATCGCTATCAACGGGTGGGGAGCGTCGGTCGCCACTCCCGTGGTAGCGTTCAACGCCTGCTGTTGCAGGATCCCGAAGGGTGAGTCCGGTGGATAAGCGGGTGGGAAGAGGGACGGGTTCATGATATGTACCAGCTGATGCTCGCGCCACAGTTCGAATCGTCCGAACATCAGATTGCATTTGTCGCACTGAAAGCTACCCTCCTTCGACTCAGTCTGCGACTGCTGTTGTTGTTGTTGTTGCTGCTGCTGCTGCTGCTGCTGTTGTTGTTGCTGTTGCTGCTGCTGCGATTGTTGATGCGACTGTCCCATCGCCTGTTGCTGATGATGGGGCGGCGTAGCTGTGTTCAACGGTTGTTGCAACTGTTCCGCGAGGGCGGGCGCGCTCGTAGGATTGGTGGAGACTGCGTTAGCAGTGGTGGTGGTCGAGCTGCTGTTGCTGTCTTCGGAACTGAGAACCGCGGCTACTTGGGCCGCGGCCGCCTGCGCTTGGGCGCTCCTCTTCGCGTCCTCCTCCTTGAAGCAGTGCGTCTTCTGATGACGAATGAGCTCGTAGTATCTCTGAAACACCAGCAAACACTTCTTGCATTGGTAATTCAAGCCTGGGGTCCGCTGGAAGCGGCCCGAACCGTCGTCACCCTCGCGGCCCCCCGGTGTCACTGGCTCAGCGGCTGGCTGATTCTCGTACACCTTTCGGGCTTTCTGCCTAGCGTTTTGGAACCAAACCACGATCACGCGCGGGCTCAATCCCAGCAGTTTGCTCAAGTATTCCAGGTCGTCGTCCTTCGGGTACGCGTTGTTTTCGAAGAACTCTTGCAGCACTTTGATTTGATAATCGGTGAATCTTGTCCGATTCGCACGTTTCCCCGAACTCCCGCCTGACGAATTACTTCCGTTCGCGCTTCCACCGAACGAATAATCGGTCGGCCCGCGGCCAGGGCTCAGAGATCTCTGAGGCGTCAACGCCATCGCCGCAATCGGACTGGCCACCACGCTACTCGTCCCCGAATTAGGACTGGCGAAATTTTGGGGCGCCAGTTTTGGCGGTAACATCGGGGCACTTGGGGTGCTGGTGGCTGATGGCGCGTGCGTCGACACGTCGTGATGGATGCCAGAGAATACCGAGCTCATGCTCAGCGCCGGTGAGTGCGGTCTCGACTGTTGCCCGCCCGAACTTCCGGGCGAGTGATGTTGTTGCTCCTCCTGATGCTGAGACTGTTGCTGCACGTGGCACTGCGGCTGCTCTTGAATTTCTTGCTTTATATCGGCTGGCTGGGACGTGTTGACTGACGTGGCCGTGGGTGGCGGGGTCGCCTGTTTGTTTGGGCTTTTGTCGTCCGAGGAACTGCTCCCGGACACGCTCGAATTCAACGGCGTCACCTTCGCCTCCCCCGTTTTCTCGTATTCCTCGAGATTCAGGGTCGTGCTAGGCGGATTGTTGAAGTTGTAAGGGCTGTCCTTGTTGCGCTGCCGTTCTTTGAACAACGTGTTCCTGAACCAGTGTTTGATCACTTTGGGCGGTAGACCGCTTTGGGCAGCCATGTCTAGAATCTGCTCCTCGCCGGGGGAATTATTGATGTCGAAATGCGCCCGTAATATCTTTAGCTGTTCGTCGGTAATGCGTGTTCGCGCTCGTTTCTGCGAGGCAGCCGCGTTTGCCTGTAAGAAAAGGTCGCCTGTGCTTTCTTTCTCGTTCGCAAATTCGAGGATAATTTACCAGGTTGGTTTATTCGCTTTGACAGGGTCTGCTTCTAATTTCATTTTTTTTCTTTTTTTTTTTTGCATTCCGATTCCTCGTAATGCCATTATCAGAGATTATGAATGATCGTATGGAAAGTGATAGAATGCGGATTTTTACATCTATTTGCAAAATGTACGTTTATCTGATAAATCATACTTTAATCTCGTTTATATCAAGTGTACAAAATGCACAAAATGTATGAAATGTTTTCTACATAAAAATTCGCAGTCTAGTGATAATGAGATTGATATAAATGAATTACATTGATTAATTTATCGAATACTTTTATCTTCTCATTGACAATGAGAATCTTCGAACAGTTCACATTTCCTGATCATAAACCAAGTATTTTAGATCATTTTTCTTATAAAAAAAATGTATATTTTTAAGCAAAGTAAAAAAATTTGACAGATATTCAAAATTAAACATTGAAACGAAAACACTAATCGAGAAAAAGTCAAAATACACTTTCAATAAAATATATAATAACGATATAATTGATAATAAATATAATATGAACTCAAAATAAGAATACAATATGGATCATAAAATTACTCACGGCTGCTGCTTGTTGCTGCTGCAAGGCGAGATGTTGTTTGGCTAGGAGATCAGCTTGAGCATTAATAGGCGGATATCCGGTGGCTGTACCATCGTACGGTGGTGGCGGTAACATCATTGGCACCAATGGGGGTTGAAGATTCATAGCAGCCAAAGCAGGAACATTTAATCCAAGCGGTAATCCCATCATACCCATCATCAATCCAGGATACTGTTGAAGCTGTTGTTGCAGCTGAGATGCGGCCATAGCGTTCAGAGCAGCTTGCATTTCCGTCATTTGTTGTGCCAAAGTCAGTTGAGCGTGTTGTTGCTGCTGTTGCTGCTGCTGCTGTTGTTGTTGTTGTTGATGCTGCTGCTGCTGCTGTTGTTGCTGCTGCTGCTGTTGCTGCTGATGCTGTTGAATGTGATGCTGAGGATTGGTTGGCAACACAGTGGGTGTGGTGGAATCAGTACTCGACACTGGAGTATTGCTCAGAGCTGGAGTGGTCGCTGGTGTCGTGGAAGTAGCTTCTGGCGTTTTACTGATTCTATCCTTGTTCTCGATAATCTCCTCCTTCACTTTCTCTCGTTGCTCTTTGTCCGAACTGAGATCTTGCGGTTGGCCAGAAGCTGGTGTCGAACTTCTGGGCCCAGATGACGTGGAAGAGGACGTTGCAACTGTCACCACCACGCTTTTCTTCTCGTATTCACACTTGAACTGTTGAGCGTATTTCTCTAAGAATTCTCGAGGCACCAAGTCGCGGTGCACCTCCTCGCAATGTGCCTTCAGCACCCAAACGCTGCTGAATTCTTTGTTGCAATGTTGGCAGGTGCTTCTGGTCAATTCCGGTATAACGTCATCATCCGTGTGCTCCTCGGCTTCTTCCTCTCTCTCCCGAGCAGCTTGAGCGGCGAGGGCTTGTTTCTGTTGCTCCTGCTTCTGTTGTTCCTGCTGGGCCTGAAGCGCAGCTGCCGCCTCCTCCTCCTTGCGCTGACGCCTTTGGTGATTCTCGTTGAACTGCATCACCAGATCGAAGCCAAAGCTCTCCAAAAGATGCTTGTACATCTGTGACGTCTTGTGACGGGGCTGAGAGAGGATGTCCTGGGCGGTTTGCGTGGAGTGTTGTGCACTCTGCTGCATGTGCTGCTGAGGACCCGGCGTTGTGGAGGTTGGAGGCGGTGTTTTCGCTGGCGCGGACGAAGCGAGCTGTTGCGAAGCCGCCAATTGTTGAAACAACGCCAAAGGATTACTGAAGATGCAATACAGTTGTTGATGGGTGGCGAGCTGCTCTTGGTTCACAAAGAGAGCGCTGCAGCGAGGACAGGACAGCATTGCACCGCTATTCCCGGAAGTGCTGGTGTTGACAGGTGGACTATTAGGGCTGCTAGGTGGAGGCTGTTCGATCAGGGGACGCGCGAGGTCGAGTTGGCCGCTCGCAGCGAGATCTGGTAATTTACTGGCCCTGGTCTGATGGAGCACGCTCCTCATGTGAATGTCCAAAGTGCTACCTTGGGAATAGGCTACCTTGCATATGTTACATTTGTACGGTTTCTTGTCCTGATCTTGCTGAGAATCTGGCGATTCTGTCGGACTGGCAGGTGGAACCACGGAGATCAACGTGTTGTTGTTACCTTGCTCTTGCATGGCCCTCTTCAATTTGTGCAGATGGCTCACGCTATTGTAATGGACGAGGAGAATATTCTTCTGAGTGAAACTCTCTTTGCAAACATCGCACTTGTACGGTCTATTCGGATCCAGATACTTCTCCATAGGGTAAGACATTTTCTCCCCTTTGCGATGCAGCAACGTCTTGTTGTGACCTGTCAAGTAACTCTGCCTTGTGAACGCGACTTTGCAACGATGACACTTGAACTTTCTCCCTGGATCGTGATAAGAATCCTCGGCTACCGGCTGGCTGTTCAGGTAATCCTCCAGAAGGCGTTGCTCCTTGTGCAATGGCGACGAGTCGCTCGCGTCGCTCTCCTCCTCTTCCGCCTTGCTAGCATCGTCCTCGACGTTCTGCTCCCCGACGAGGCTGCCCTGCCTGCGCAGCGCCTCCTCCGTGAGCGCCTGGAGGAGCGGATGGGCGTGCAACAAGCTCTGCTTGTACTGGGCCAACTCGTCCTCGTGGAGATCCGCGTGGGCGGATTCGAGGTGTCTTTGGAGCGCCTGCACCGAGCGAAACGATCTTCCGCAGAGGGCGCACTTGGTCGCGTCCCTGATGGCGTGATATTGCGAGTGCTGTTGCAACTTCTCCAGCGTCTTGAACGCGAGGCTGCACTGGCCGCATCGATACTTGTATACGTGTTTCTCGCTGACGGCGAGCGTGGGCGTAGTGGCAGGATGGATCTCCCTGTGGTGTTGCTGCAGCTCCTCCAACGAGCGGCAAACACGGCCGCAAACGGTGCATCTCGTGATCTCCTCGATCTCCTCGTTGGCCCCGCGCTCGCTCAAATCCTCCTCCTGCGGCTGCTTGATGGTGGTGGTCGGTGAGGACGGCATTGCCACGGCCGGCGTCGAGGTGTTCCGCGGATTGTTGTTCAGCCAATGGCTCTGGTCAACCAGCAGCAGAAGACGTTGTAAACCGTCCGCGTTCACCGAGTGTATTTGCATCACGTGCTTCTCGAGCGCGGAACGCTCTTTGAACCCGTCCTGGCACAGCGGGCACAACAATTCCGGAGGCGGCTCCTCCTTTACGGCCTCCGCTTTGTCCTCGGCGTCCTGGACATGAGCAACTTGCAAATGCTGCCTCAATTCCTCGCGCGACGTCGGCTGATAAGTGCAATACGGGCAGGTGACTTCCTCGTGATCGTTCTCCGGCTCTTGTTCAGTTTCCTGATCGTTATCCGGCTCCTGCTTCACCTCGCTGCCGCAGTCGCTACCTTCCTCTCGTCGGTCTGGAAAAGAAAACGGTAACCGGGATTCGCATGGTAATTGAGGCAAGAGATCAACGGGCGATGCGTTTTGAAGCGCGTTGTTCTATGCAAGCGAGGAGGAGGAGAATTAAACGAAGGGAAAATGGCACGAGTGACGTGAATTGAAAATTTATGTATGCTACTTCTCAACGTCGGGATAATTTACAAAGATGCAAGAATGTGTCAAAATATTTTTACTTTTATTCAACTTGTACCATTGTGATGGTGTAAAGATGCAAAGTATGAAGAATGCGCACAATGCGTCAAAATGTATAATATATTCGAGATAAAGTATATCATTGTGATACTTGTTGAATTGTTTAAATAAATTTTTATTTGGATTTTTTTGTTTTAATTATATTCGTAAAAGTGATAAATTTGCATGAATTATTGTTCTACGTTGTTTCAGATTTCCTTCAGTTTAACGTATGATGATTTAATTTAACACAAGATGTATTAATTGTGAAATTATAAGAATAAATATATATTTAATTTATACGACTTGCGATCGATCAAAGTATTTTGAAGAAAATATGGGTTACGCATTCATATTCATACAAGCGCAACGCTGGCTTATAATTTTTCCCGATTCTCATTTCTAAGTTCTTTAACCTTAATTTTAAGGGGCGTTTTAAAAGCATCGAAATTTCCGCACGGTGAAAACCGGAAATCACTATGGGAACACACCGTGCAATTGGGCCGCATTAACGTTAACAGTTTTTGATTCGTGCAACATAAATTCTTGTGCCTTTAATACCACCGATTACTATCTGCCGATAACGCGAACGTGTAATTCCCCTTTCTATTAAGACGCCGATAAATCGTCGATCGACATCAAAAATCTTAACAGCCGAAAAAAGAACCATTAATCTTGCAGCTGCATGTGAACAGAGGTATAAGTCGATAATGTTGTGAGAGAAAGTAAATTATGTGTAACGGCAGCGAAAGCATTTCGTCCCGTGACGCCGATTCTCTTGTTTCGGTGTTACGTTTCTTCTTTTCGTTTTTTCTCTTAAGTTCGATGCAGATCCTTGCACGAGCGATGCATGCCTTTTTACTTTTTTATTACGGATAAAGTAAATTACGAACAGATTTTATTGACGATTACACAGCTAATTGAAATTTATCGTCGGTATCAATTATCGATACTGCAATCTTAAATTGAAAAATATTGGAAGTTAAATTAAACATTGTTTTAAAGCATGTATTTTCGTTTTTTCCTTATATTATAAAATTTTGAACGAATTCTTATAGTTAAAGAAATCTGGGGAATTTCATGTTATTTAGAAAGTTTTTTTTTTTCATTTCATGTTATTTAGATCGATAATTTTGAGCGAAAAGATATTTTTAATAATTGTTCAATATTGTTTTGTTATATTGTGTTTAATAATACTTGTTATTATAACGTTGTTATTAATAATTTTATGTTGAAGTATTGTATATAAATAAGTTATAAAAACAAAAATCAATAGAAACCAAATATATAAAAACGTAATAAATTAGAATTGAAACACGATTATATTACATTTTCTGAGCTCATATAATTAATATTTTTAAAAATTTGTATGCAGGATATATTAAAAAAAATATATTACAAATCATTAAACATCGAATAAAAATATTAAAAAGATGAGAAAACGTTAAAATGAAAATGGTATCCGTGATTCTACTGTTAAAGAATCTATTAAAAATAATGTTATTTGCTTCAATTACGAACTATAAAAACTTCCTTCGTCACATTACAATTTATCACACAAAATTATACGATCCTATACTGTTTATTATAACGCAACAGATATAATATGAAAAATATTCAACTCAACTATCAATCCTAGTTCTCTCACTTCATAAAATTGATAAATAAGAAAATTACAACATTTTAATGCTCTGCGACAAACAAGAAATATTCAAAGCTTCTCACTCAGTTTATGCTTATATAAAAAAATTTATTTAACAAAAATTTTAACGATTGAAATATTCTCTTATTCTATTTCAAGATAATTCAGTATATCTATAGTGAATTAGATCTATTGTCTTCGTTAAATTAAGTAACAATAGAGTTTTATGATATTTGTATCATACTGTTTTTGTGTGAAATAATACTATTTAAAATCTCCTAAAATATGCTATTTTTTCATTCTTTGAGATAAATTGAAATATAAATAAAATTGAAAAATTTATACATATTAAATTATATAAAATTATATATTAAATTTAAAATTATATATAAAATTATAAATAATATATATAAAATATATATAAATATAAAATTATATATAATATAAAAATTATATAAATTATATATATTATATATATATATATATAAAATTTATATATATTTTTTAAGAATTTAAAATCGATTAAAATCGATAAAAATTTCAATTTTCAAATATATCTGAACGAATATTAATGTCAGAATATTTTTATATCATAATATTTTTTATGAGAGATAAATCATTAGAGGAAACAATACTTTAAATCACAATTGATTTCTCTAACATTAATCCATATACGAAGAGAATTAAATAAATGATAAATTAAATAATAATATTGATTTTTATAGAATTCATCTTCTAGAATTTCAAACTCGATAAAAAGAAAAGAAAAAAAAAGAAATTTCGAGTCGACCGACATTTTCTCGCACACCTCTAGCAAATTATCAGGGGATGGGACCATGATGGTTGTGTGCAGACGTCGCAGATGCTTCCTTGTCCGTAACAATACCACTTGAAATTACAGATTGCCGATGCATGGAAATTATCGACGGGGTCGTTTTCGACCGGGAGGGAAAAACGCGTGGCTTGCGGAGAAAGCAAGACGCGAAAATAAAGGGAGGACCGCCTATTCGCGTGGTCTCCGCCATTGTCCAAAACCGCATTTACGTCGAACAGGCGTCAGTTGCGACGATGCAACGCGTGCTACTGGTTTCATACACATCGGTGAAGCCCTTTCGGATGATTTCGTGCCTCCCTTTGGGACGAGCGAATGTTTGAGAATTCGTTGGATATGGAAAAATTTAATGCGATTACCTCAGAAAATAGTTGGTTCTTCTAACATGGCAATCGCCTGATTGTGGAAATATGTTTCATTTTCATGTAATTCAGAGATTTTAATTGTAATATTATAAGTATAATATATCAGCATTGTTTGAAGTTATATTATTTAATTATAAGTTTGAGAATTGGTTAGGTTTGTATCCCCCAAAATGGCAATCTTGTTTCTTATTTGGAAATATATTTCAAAAATTTTATTCTTTGAATGAACGAAAATGAAATAAGGAAGAATATTAGAAAGTTATATAAATAATAAGTTATTTGTAAATGAAATAATAAAAATTTGGATATTGGATATTAATAATTAATACAAAATAGATACTTTTAATTTATCTATGGTGAGTATTTTTAAGTTTTTATCATTCAATTTATATTTTTGTAGTTATTCAAAGAATAAATAATAACTGGATTTTATATAATTTTAGATATGTACGAAATTTATTCGTTATCATATAAAAATTTTCTAATTTTTCAAAATATTAACTATATGACGTCTTCATCCACAAATATCCCAATTGTGAATAACTTTGAATATATACCATCAACAACAAAATGGAAAAGTCTAATTTCGCTCTCTCCCTTCTGAAGTATATAGCTCGAACAACACATTGTGTCGTTCTCGTACATTTATATAAATACAGGCCCTCGATACACGTAATAACACTCGGCATTGTGCGTGTCATGGCACACGCCATCACCATCTGCCACATGAAATTGCCACCATTGCATGCTAATTACGCGATAATCGATGAAAATATTGAATTTATTAATAAAGATGTCGAATGAATCTTCCTTTGAAAACGATTTGACAGATGTGAATTTTATCTTCATACGCTTCTTTTTTTTAAAAGAAATATAATTCGATATATCCCCGTAATTAATGGTTGTTCTCATTCTTTTCTTCTTCTTTAATGAATTAATCGTATTTAAATATTCTCGTTATTTCCTTCTTTCGTTAATAAATCAATCGTAAATCATGATTGACGTAAAAAAAGTCATCATTATGCTTAAAGGTAAATAAATAAAAATGAAAAATGATCGTGTAAAATATAAATAGATATATAATGAACGAATAAATTAGATAAAAACTAGATCATGAAATATACAGAATAATATTTGTTCAAATTATACGATAAAACAATTCTTCTTATATTTTTATATTACAAAAATAACTACATAATAATAGCACAATTAATATTATTAAATATAATAAAATAATTATTCTACTTTCCCATTTTTCTCTGCTATATTACATATAAATATATATATATATACTTTTTATATGATAATTTTTTATATTAAATGCTTTTATGCAAAGATCTGCATCTTTAAAATTTTTTCAAGTAGGAGATTTTTTTAAGTAATTAAATATGTGATTATGTTTAATAATATTCTCTTTTTTAATGAATGTAACACCGAATTATCTACGCGATTTTAATTATATACATACAGATTATTCAAGAATCTAAATTAAATATGCACATTTAAAACTATACATGTATTATTCAATTCATAATTTGCATCACTTTATAATCGAAATAAAAAAAGCAAGAAACGACTGCAATATCAAGTTTCCATTTAACAATCGAAGACTGGATATAAAAGAAGGAAATGCCATAATCAAAAGTTTGTTAATCGAAAAGTTCATCCCCAAGAATTAGGATTAAATTTCGAAATTTAATAGTTTCAAATTTAACAGAAATTAAATTTTTCACAAATTAAAAGAATATCAATTTTATTAATTATTATTATTAATTATTATTATTACTATTAATTATATTACTATTAATTAAATATATTAAATTACTATATTTTTATAATTTAAATATATTATATTACTATTAATTAAATATAAATTACTATTAATTAATTACTCACTTGAGTTTAGAGAGTTCGAGAAATTTTCTAAAAATTTTAATTCATCAATAAAATAAATAAAATAAATATTCTTTAAAGTAATATTTTAAGAAAACAAAGAAAAATAAGAATAAAAATATCAACCTATTAATTAATTACTCACTTAAGTTTAGAGAGTTAAAGTAAAATAAAATAAAATAAATATTCTTTAAAGAAATATTCTAAGAAAACAAAGAAAAATAAGAATTTTGGAAATAGCATTGCTGGATGCATGAGCGCCCTTCTCGACAGAATTTCGAGTTTCAAGAGTTCAAAAAATGTCTGATTCGATTTTCCTGAATCTAAAAATTAGTTTTCTCTATACCCATCTCCACCAAAAACTTTAATCTCCTTCCCTACGTTCAGTCTTCAAACTCTACTTATCCGATACTTTATCTCGAAAAGCATCGACTCACCATTGTTGGCACTGGTAGCATTCGGTGTGGTCGGCGCGGTGGGACTCGGCTGTTGCGCAGGTGGGGCGTCGGGGTCGCTCATAACCTGAAAAACGTCACCGATATCGGTGTGCGGTGTTTCGTTCCCCTGTATACCGCTCCGCCGATGAAGCTGATGCAATTGCTCCATCTGAAGGTGTCTCAGCGAACGAACGTGCTGCAGCAACGGCAATCTGTGCCTCGCGCTGAACCCGCACAAAGCGCAATGATACAACTTGGCCTGGGATGGGATATTCGCGCTTGCCTCGAGCAAGTGGCGAAGGAGCAGAGACGCGGCCTCGTGCCTCGGCGAGGCTGCGTGCAGCGCCAATTTGTGCGCACTGTTCGTGTAATAGTCGCACGCGTGACAACGTAATTGCGCGGCGCTAGTGGGCGAGGCCAAATACTTCAATTTCCACTCGTTTCGTAGCCCGCCCTCCTTCACGTGGTTCACGTGCTGCAGACGTTGGAGGTGTTTGTCCGTCTTGCAGTGCAATTGGAAATTCGCCTTCAGGTTGGTTTTATAGGAACAAAGTTTGCAGACGAAGTGGCCAGCGACCAGGGCGAGGATCTCGCCCTCTCGCGTCCTCGTCCGGTCCACGGCCAAATGGTGGCCGAGAGCCTCCAACGAATCGGTGGCAAAATTGTTGCACACGCAGCAGTGATAGAGATGAGAGGGGTCAGGGTCCGCTGGTTCAGGCGGTGGGTCCATACTGTCGGGTGACAGACCGTCGCCACCGAGGTTGCCCATGGCGCCCATGCTCGCCATGCCGCCCATAATCTCTGGTGGTAGCTGCGGTGGTAACTGGCCACCGGTCATCATCTGGATCAACAAAGCTTGATTGTAAGCCATGTCCGCGAGGGCAGCCTCCGCGTGTTGGGGCTTGTCCAAACCGCCTAGATGAAGCAGCTGCTCGAGTTGTTGTTGGTGTTGCTGTTGCGCTTGTTGATGATGGTGCTGGGCCTGCTGGTGATGGGATTGAAGCGCGGACAGAGTCTGCATGTGCTTCACGTTCTGCTGGAGGACCAGCATATTGTGCGTATGCTTCTCGCTAGTCATGTGTATCCTGAGGTTACGCGCGACGTTCGTCTCGTAGTTGCACACGTCGCAGCGAAACGTCGGTTTAGGCTTCCCTTGGTTCCCAGCCTGACCGGTTATGTGCGGACTGTGGTTCTGCTGGTGATGGGGACTTCTCGTTGGCATCGGCGCGTCCTGCGAGGACGATGGATTGCTCGCAGTTGAACCGCCACCTCCGCCTTGCTGAAGCTCTTGCATGTTGTTCAAGTGTTTGTCGCTCTGCATGTGAATACTGAGATTACCTTTCGTCGTGGTGGAATAGTTGCACACCTCGCATCTGTAGGGCTTGTATCCGCAGGTGTATGTCTCGCCACGAGCTAACCTCGGATGAGGTTGCCCGGCGATGCAATAGATGCAGGATGTCTCGCTCTCGGGATGCTTCTCCTTCATGTGTATCTCTAGTGTCTCTTGATACTTGTAATGCCAATTGCATTTCGGACATTTGAGAGTTTTGCACGAGTTCCTACTGTGGATGCCGGCCAGAGGTCCACCCGGGCCGGCTAATCTGCTGCTGGCAAGGATCAATTCGCATTTCGGGCACTCGACTCCACTAGGTCTTCCTTGCATGTGTTCAGGGCAGACGCCGATAGTCGTGCCAGTGAGGAAATTCGGTGGCTGCTGGGTCAACGCGGCGTACGAAGACGGCGAGCCCTTGGTCGATGAACTGGGTGGCGGTGGTGATGTGTAATGCATGCCGGAAGCGTCTGGCGCTTTGGCCCAAGAAGCGGCGCTGACCTGACCGCCTGTCCACTGGTGTTGCTGCGGTTGTTGATGATTGTACGCGAGAGGATGATTCGAGTGTGAGGTGGGAGTGGTGGGTGTGCTCGGGGATGGCCTCTGCGGTTGTTGCTGCTGCTGTTGCTGCTGGGGGCTGCTCGGTACTCCGGGAGTGCTGGCAGGCGTGCTGGTCGTGGTCGGCGTTTCGTGATCCGTGGACTCGGTGCGCTGCTGTTGTTGCTGGTTCTGCATTTGCGCGGCCGACGGTTGCGGGCAAGTGGAACTCGTCACAGGTTCCAGAAAACTGACCAGCGGTTGCTTTCCCCTGCCCACCGCCTGTATGATAGCCGACGCGGTCGAATGCGAGAGTATCTGTCGCTCGTCTTCCATCAAGGTGAGCTGATGTTCGCCCTGGGCGTGCGCCACGAAACTCTTCGCGTAACCGAAGCTCAGCTTGCATATGAAGCACATGAGGATAGGTTTGACGGGTACCGAGGCGGCGGGAGGTGGTGGCGCCGCTGGAGGCGGGGGCGGCTGTTTGCTACCCTCCGCGCTTCTGTAACTTATTACTCGATAACTGTGCATCACAGGGAGATCAGCATTATGTTGTTGCGCAGCCGAGCGTTGTTGCTGCTGTTGTTGCTGCTGTTGGTACGCTTGGTGCGCGTATAATCTCGATACGTAATACGCGCTCGCGATCTGAGGAAATACGAGAGAATGGGGGACCGAGACCCCGCGGCCGTCCACGATGCAACCGTCTGGCAACGAGTCGTCCTCGCTCAGCTCGCTCTCTCCCTCGATGATGTACGCCGAGCCGTCCGGATTGTACACGATCTTCCCGTCAAATTTTTCCACGTCGCCACCTGTTGGACTGGGACTAGGGCTTGGTCCTTGTTGCTCCTGTTGTTGCTGTTGCTGGCCCTGCGACTGCATGGTCATGGTGGTGGTGGTGGTGGTGGTTGTGGTATCCGCGATCGGTGTGGGCGTTGGTATGGCATCGCGGGTGCAGGGTTCCGTGCCCGAGGGTGGACTGGCCGTCCGGGGGTGGTGGGGCTGGTGTAACGCAGCCCCTGCTGCCGGGGGGGACCCGCCCCCTCGACCCCCCTCCTCCTCCGGGCTCATCTCTTGCTTTTGCTGCGTGTACGTGGAATTTTGGAAGGGACCGCCGTGTTGCTGCTGTCTCTGCTGCTGCTGCTGCTGTTGTTGCTGGTGCTGTTGATGGGCCGCCACCAGCTGTTGGTAGAGCTGATGTTGCCCGATCGCGGCCGACGTGTGCTGCTGGAGATGCGAGGGAGGAATGTTGTGGTGCTGAAGGTGGTACTGGGGGGGATGAGGCTCACTGGAGGGCATCACCCCAAACGTGAGGCGGGCGCCAGCCTCACATCACCTACGGCGCCTGCGCCTACACTCTCTCGACTTCCTCTTCTTCTTTTTCTTCTACAACACTTTCCGCTCTCCACTCTCTTCGCTCGCTCTCTCTCCGCCTCTCTAGTCTCTTCTCCACCGTTCACAGACGTTTTGCTAGCTACCCCGACACAACCCCAGGTCGTACCTGTAACAGAAGTCGGAATTTCATTTTTTTGGAAAATTGTCAAGTCAAGTTCGTTCGATTCAAAAATCGCAAGGGATTTTCTGGGGGGGAAATTCTCGAATACCTCTCGAAAAAATTCTTTTCCATTTTCTTCGAATCTGTTGAATTTAATTCTCGCGGTTCTAAATATAGTTCGGATTCTAAATCGGATGAAGAAGAATCTGGTACGCCGGTTCGGGAAAGAATGATTTCGCGAGGAGCATTATTGAGATGGCCTATAATCGGTTAATCCGGGCAAACAGAGGCCGTTTAGAGAACAGTGTAAAGATAGCGAAATACGTGGAAAATGTCGGCAAGCTGCGTATACAGAGGATCAAACTGACGAAGGCGGCGGATCGGTACACAAAGGAGGCTCGCGACACAAGGCGCCCAGTGTTACCTGGAACCCTAACCGTAGGATCCAGCTGTGTTTGCGACTGTTCGGTCAAGCTTATCTATCGATTGGATATTGACGTCTCTCATCGAGCCTCGTGCACGCGTAAGAACAGATTCATAACGGAAAGAAGTCGATTCGTGAATGGCTACTCTTGTACACTCTCTGCTCTGATTAAAGGATATCTCTATTTTAGCCTGTTCTAGATACTCCCCTTTTCTCTGACACGAACTATTCGACTAAATATCTAGGCAAACACGGAAATACACGTCTATAAAATAGCGTACAAGCTTGTACTGTTCCATTTCGAATTTCGAGGACACCATGTCCCTTGAATGTTTTCATATTATTGATTTACGCTTGAAAAATCCTCGAATTACGCTCGAAAAGTTATTGAGCCTACGTAACAATCACCCAATATAAAAACCACAAGTCATTTCTACCACATCTATACAATCTCTACGAAAATATAATACGTACAAATCGATACGAGAACGAACAAAAGAATTGTCTTCGATCGATCTCCAGTCGTATCTGGATCACCGTGAGATATCGCCTTCGGAAGTACCCTCGACCCCACACACACACACACATCACTCAAACTCTACGTGGATTACGCGTGCGAATTCCTCGCGGCAACGAGGATGCGTCTAATCATCCAGTCCCAATTACGCGAAATCGCGGCCTCGGTTCAAAAGACGGCCGCCAAGTATTCGCGGAATCTAACGGATCAAAGAGGAGGGGAGGGGGGAGGGGGAGCCGTGCGCGGATTTATGCGCTCGCGGCATCTCCGTGTGGGGGTGGTAGCACGGCGTGACTATTCTTTTTCCTCTCTCTCTCTCTCTCTCTCTCTCTCTCTTCTGCGATCAGAGGTCTCCTTTCTTGAAAACGTGCCGCTGGACATCATCGTGATACACAGATGCATTATGCGACCTCTCTATCCCCCCTTCCTCTGTCTCTCTCTCTCTCTCTCTCTCTCTCTCGCGACTCGTTGTTGTTCGTGCCGCTCGTCCACCTTTCCCTCCTATCACCGCGGTTATAATTCCACGGTGCAAACTCCATAATCCAGTGGGCATCTCGTGCCGGTTTTCTAATGCGTGAGCACCGGGCACCCGATCATTTCCTCGGATTATCGTCGATCGATCGCAAATCGATGGTGGCCAGCAACGTTTTGTCGAGTTTTCCCGCGCGCCTAAACGCGGGATGGATTCGCTCCTTCGAGAGATTATCTTCGTTCGACGCTCAATTTACGTGTTTACGCGGAAAGTGATTCGAACACGCCGATGGGATTTCGCTGTTTATCGGGTGGGAACGTGCGTTTCCGCGAACACACGGGGGATAATGGGGATACCGGTTACGTATTTATCAATTGGTTTGTTGGTTTGGTCGATAATTTTTATCGTATATCGATGTTGGGTATTTTGTTTTATTTTATTTAAGGGGTGGAAATACCTTTCAAAGGGATTAAGAAATGAGATGTAGTTGAAATGAATTAGATTAGAAATTTATATCGAATCAGAAATAGTATAAGACTTGAAAATCTATATTTCTAACTATATTTATATAGTTTAATATAAAACATTATATTTTCAATATAAAATTAATTTTATAAATTTATAAATATAAATTTATTTATATAATAAGCTAAATAAAGCTAATAGGTTTATATACCCTATCGATAAATTAAAAATTTTTATATAAATAAGATTATTTAATTTTATTTTAGTGTTAAAGCACATAAAATTTTGAATTTTATAGAATTAATTAAATTATTAAATTGGATATTAGTTTAAATTTAAAACATTTAAATTGCATTTAAAATTTAATATTATTTTATTATATCTAAATTTAAAAGTAATATTCGTTGTTTTTAACGAATGGATACGTTTTAATTGAAATGGGACAATTAGAAAATAATAAATTATGCATATTAGTTTATTGGTTTATTAAATATTGAATATTCCCGTTTCTCTTTAAAGTTGCAATAAAGCAGACGAATAAAATAATAATCTTTGCGAGTTATGTCTTTATCAGTTGGTTTATTGATTTATAGATCGTTCTTCTGTTAAAAATTTGAATTGAATATTGAAAATTTTCTTATTCTTAATAAATTAATTCTATTATAAATATTTCTTTAAGGATTCCATATACAAATATATATTTAAAAAAAAAAAAATATGAGTTACATATTTCACTTTAAACAATTCCTTTTCTCGGGGGTTGGTTTCGAAACGCGTGTACGCGATGGATAAGGCAGGCGTTCGAGCTCGAAAGAGATAAAAGTTTTTACATCGGGGTTGACGTGTCGTTTCTCAGACGATTGAAATAGATATCACGGTCGTTGCGTGACTGCGTTATGGCACGTTTGTACAACGTGTAACAAGCAGATAGTACGTTAATGTTGGCTCGATCAGCGGGTAGGATCTTGCTGTTAAAAAGCTGCATTCCGAATGGGTAACATGGTAACGTTAAAGGTTACAAATATTTCAGGTCATGTAGTATGTTCTTCGGCCGTGTTCCATCGTAACAAGCTTTATTGAAATTTTAGAATTAAATTTATTCCGTGTATATGTGTACACCATCGTTATATAAAGTATGGTGCATAAAATCGTGGAGAATGAATTAACGAAAAACGTAGAATTAAATTTGACGTCGAAGATACATTTATTTGAAAATAAAATATTAAACAAAATTTCCATTAATATATAAATCACTTGTTTATTCAGAAAGAAATTCTTAACGTGTTCAATGTAATGAACAATTTCATCTGTCAATCGTCGACTGATTTATATAAATATATATATTTACGAATATTTTATTTTTCATTATGTTTATATATTTTCACTCCCTTTCTGCAAGATTTTAGAATTAATTATATCGATCAAATCTCATGAATGCTAACAATTGAAATCTTAGATATTTTATTATATATTTATATATTCCCCTATGAATAAAACGTAACACATATCCTATTAAAATATTTTACATTGTATAAAAATTACATAAAAAAAAAAAAAAAAACATTCCTCCCACCACGAAGTCCCTAAGTTACATAACTATCGCTCGTAATATCTAGTTTCCTCTCGCGGCACACCGCGTCTAATTGCAATTCTTAATTAAATCCCCAGGATCTGCACTTCGTATCTGTTAAAAACCCGACAAAAAAAGAACTAAAATATGCGGAAAGTTGAAGCGGTAACCGTCATTATACCACGCGTAGGCGTGTATAAAAAAAAAAAGAAAAAAAGAAAAAAAGAGAAAAAGAGAAAAAAAAGAACGCAATACCCACGTTGCCGTGGTAGATTAGGGTTGGGGCTGTTGTGTAACCAAAAACATCTGCCAATCTGACATCACCTGCCCCGTATTACCTATTTCTAGCTAATTTATCATCCATTTGGACGAAGCTAGGAATTGAAGGAAGAAAGTCGAGAGACGTGGCTCCTCCGTGGCCGGGCTAGATAGCTCCAATATAGACCTCCTCCGCTGTTTCCACCAGACCCATGGTCTTTCATTACACGATAACATCTTAACTGGCGCGCCGGCATGCGAATTCTCGATGCCGGTTGTTCCGCCGATTCGCGTTAATAAAGCCCCGATATCTCTAGATTTCTCGCCGGCCAGGATTGCAGAGAGCGGGTTAATTGTTTAAACCGCTCGACAGAAAATTTTAGGCGAGAGAACTGGTTGGAAACAGTTCTGGGGTTCTGGCGAAGAGGAAGATCGTTCCGATGAGTGGGCGTTTAGTCGGCGTTAGCGGTTTTCAAGTGGGTCCATAAGATTTTTAAGATTATTAAAAAATTGGAAAGTCGAAGGGATGGACTCGCTTATGTGATTTTTTTGAAAATTTAGAAAAGAAATTCGAGGAATTTTTAGTAGTACGTTTTTAGATTAGATTGGGGATATTTTTATTATGGAGAATATAAATGTGCAAAAATCTATGGAATGATTCTATGATATGAAAAGAAAAATAAAGCATAGAACGTTTAAAATGATGAATAAATCTGTATGTAATTTTAATCTTATTCGTAAAAATTTCATAAATATCTGATTATTATACCTTGCATAATGTTGAATATTATTTTAATGCTTATTTTAATGTTGAATATTATTTTAAATATTCAACGATCTGATTATATTTCTTTAAATTTGTAAATTTAATCAGTTATAAGATACCTATTTTCATTCTTACGAAAGAATCTATTCGTTAGTTTGTATAGAATTAACAATAGCTAAACGAAACTATGTTAATAAAATTAAAGTGATATAACACAATATTCACAAATGAAATTTGTGAAGATTTGAAAAATAATTGTCTTCGTGAAACATTACGTTTGACAAATAAAAAGCGTTTGAAAACCACTGGGAAAGGGAGGAAACGCGTCGAATGAATTTGATGGCGTGACGAACGCTGGATGACTACGTATTTCTAGAAGGATTCATTAAACAAAGCCGATATATCGATTCCACCTTTCCTTCAACGACATAGTAAGCTAGTTCTTCCGCGAAATATTCCTACAAATACGATCGATAAACTTGATTACCTATCGATTAGAAAAATTGTGGATTTGTAATAAAATGATTATTTCTT